ATTCAGCTGTACTGCAGTGGGGTGTCATGGCTTCATTGGAGGTGAGATGATGGTTTTGATTGGTCTCTGGGGGATAGAGGAAATGTACTCCCAGTAAATGGGGAGTGACAATGGACAGATTGCAGGGTGTTTGCTTCTATAAATAGAACCTCACTTCCTCCATCTCTTAACTCAATTATGCAGCCTGAGTCCAAAAGTTGCCGTTGACGAAGCAAGAGCAAAGCAAAGCAAGCAAAAGCCACACATTTGCGTCTGTAGTTTATCCATGTGCTGTAATCCCATTAGCAACCATTAAGCAAGGCAGTTTAAACGGATCCTGCTGGTTTCAAATGTGAGGAAAGGTTGTCTTCTTTGACTCAGCAACGGTAGAAGAAAGAGAGGCAGAAGTTGATGGAGCCCTTTGATGTCACATGACTGCGTACGTTGCGAAGGGTCCGGGCGGGTGGCGAAAGTCAACCCTCCCTCCCATCATTCCCCAGTCTTTTCCCCGAACACATGCAGGAGACTTCATGGCAACTTAGTGACCAATATTTGTGTTTACGGGCTGTTAGAAACAAGTGAAAGCAGAGATTGTTGTTGACCAAGTGGCATCTCCGATCACTAACCATGTCGCTTTTGTGCTGCTATCCCTTCAGGGACTATGGCTCCAAGCGCAAGTCGGGTAAGTCACCTGTTTTTCTTCACACTTCCTTTCCCTATGCAACTTTCGTGATCTCTTTCTAAAAAATTCTGTAGATAAAAACATGTCACCTTAAGATTCAAGATTCACGAATCTCAATCCACTCTTTTGTGCGTGTCACTGGCAATTATTGCTTGCGTATGTATATTTTTTATTTATTCTACGGTGAGACACTGGGTTTGTGTTTTTGTTTTGGACCACTGTTCTTGGTATGGGTAGTCGTCCAGGGTGAAGATGGTTTGATCTGTTCCTGGTCCCGTTCAGATGTTACACTGTCGGTTTACCAAATATCGTTGACATAACATCGTCAGTTGCAGTTCCAATTATCCCTGCCTTTCTAAATGTTGACTGCGTGGTCCAAGCTTTCTTTCTGCTGCTTGTTTACCTGCGTATTTCGTTACTTGCATCTTGTAATCTGCAGAATGATTTTTTTTTCCCTTCGGTTCCATTTTTCTTCAGTCCTTCTCAATTGTTTTTATTCAGTGCTGGTAGTATTATTTTAAGTTACCGCCAATGTTGAAATCATCAACACGGTCCTAGAGCGCCTTCTTGTGGTTTAATGTGAAAACAACACGTGAAATGATACAATAACGTGTTCATAATTTCACACATAAATCGCTCCAGAGTAAACTATGAAAAAAACTGATATTTATAGTCCGGAAAATGCAGTAATTGTTTTTTCATAACATTTTATTTACATCCTTAAACCTGCTAGGTCAAAGATAACCCGATGTTGGTGAAAAATTGGACTGACCTGCTACTTTGGTCAATTTGATACAACATTCCGGGTTGTTTTGTATCATAATGACACTTTTTTTTTTTTGTGTGTCCAAAATTTACCCAAGTAGTGTGTCGGGCCTTTTCTTTCTTTTTTTTTAAATGACCCAGCAGGGTGTACGTTATGGAGGAATGCTTGAAATATAGGTTTGCATGTTTTTATAATATGATTCTATTGCCACAGATTCCAATGAAATCTGTATCCAGTATCACTCTAAAATACGTAATGTCAAATGACAAATGATGTTCGATTTTTGATTGATAACCGTTAAATTTGCTTATTTACAAGTGCAGGACCTCGGTAATTCTCTCTGTGATAAACTTATTTTTTTTCATCGACCAAAACGCAACTGACCAAATTAAATTTCATTTGTTTTTCTCACAACAATCTGCAAAGAAGCAAAGGCAAACAATTATCTCAATTTATCTTTTCTTCAAAAACGTGTACTGCTTGGTTTCAGAGCATTTTGCTGGCCCAATGATGTTGGCTGCCGTGTTGTTTTCGTCAACGCTGACGAATTTATTTCTTTAACGCGGCATTTTTCGTGACGATGACGAGACGACGACGAGCCTACGTAGTTCTATGATGACCAAAGACGTCATGTGGGTTTTCGTTGACGAGACGAGACTGGACAAAATTCTTAGCGTGTGGTCTGTCAGACGTTCAAAATGCACTACATCTCTTCCTGTTGGGCATGCAATGCGTCTGCCAAAAAATATCAGCAATGTTGCTGCAACCGATCCTTGCTTGGTCACGCCCACCCCCTTCCCGGCAGGCAAGGAGGGCACACGAACACAGTCGCATAAGATAACTCTTCACCCACCCCACCACACACACACACACACACACACACACACACACACACACACACACACACACACACACACGCACTCAAAAACGCACACGTCTATTTAGTGCTTAACGCAACCGAGCAAGTTACAACCAGGCTATTATTTGTGCCATCGTGGCCTGCCTGCACATAAAACACAATCTCTGTTAGATTTTCAACATAATTGCAGCTCCTAATGGAATCAGTTTATGGTACATTTAAGATGTAGGCTTTGTTGTTGTTGTCATTTCCTAGAGAGTGTTTGTTTGTATCACAACTGCTTTCCTACATTGCACCTACATCTGACCTTTCATCAATTCTATCAGAAATGACAAGGCGAGTGAGAGCCTAATAATATGGAAAACCAAAGAATTTTCAATAGCTGAAGATGACCAACATTGTGGACCATGGTAGAAGTGAGCACAAACACCTTTGTCACTCTTCAACATGGTATTATTGTCTGCCATAGTTAGTCAATTCTGCCTGTTGGAATACCCTGACAACTTTTTCCACATGTGCCTGATCAATTCCGGTTGATTTAATAATTTTTTTATTTTTATTTTTTTTTAACTTTGTCATGTCACTCAATAAGGTGACAGAACAAGCTGTGAATTGGATAGTTATGAAGTGGGAGCAGTATTAGTTTTCACAGCACCATGATGAAAAATGTTTCATTTGAAATCCTAATTCAATGCCACCTTCAAATGTAAAACTATTGATATGAGACTGACTATAATCGTTGAAAAAATACCAATATACTTGAGTTTAAGATCAGGAATATGATGTTGCTTCCTGGGGAGTACAAACCCAATTGCATTCAAGTTGGGACATTGACACAATGATTTGCAAATCACGTTCAACCTACATTCGATTGAATACTCAAAGGCACGATATGTAATGTTCAAACCTAAACTTTATTGTTTTGAGCAATTAATCATGAATGGATTCGATGTCTGCTACACATTCCAAAACAGCTGGAACTGGGTCATGTTTACCTTTTCTTTGAAACAACATTCAATGAACATACGGGGACTGAGGACACAAATTGTTGCAGCTTTATTGGTGGAATTCTTTCCCATTCTTGCTTGAAGTATAACTTAAATTGTTCAACATTCTGGGGTCTCCATTGTCGTAAATGTATGCTTCATGATGCGTCACACCTTTTCAATGAAAGACAGGTCTGGACTGCAGGCAGGCCAGTGTAGTACCCACACTCTTTTATTGAGAAGCCACGCTGTTGTAACGTGCAGAATGTGGTTGGGCATTATCTTGCTGAAATAAGGAGTGACGTCCATGACAAAGACATAGCTAGGAAGGCAGCATAAGTTTCTTCAAAAGCTGTATGTACCTTTCAGCATTAATGGTGCCTTCACAGAGTTTTAATTAGCAATGCCACTGGCACTAACACAACCCCATACCATCACGGCTTTTGAGCTTGAACTTTGATCTGGGCCCATAACAGTCCGAATGCTTCTTTTCCTCTCTGGCCCGGAGGACACGACATCCACAATTTCCAAAAACAATTTGAAATTTGAACTATTTTCGTCTTTGCATCAGTGCATCTTAGATGAGCGCGGGCCCAGAGAAGCTGGCGGCTTTTCTGAGTATTGTTGATGAAATCGGTTTTCTGAAGTGTTCCTGAACTCATTATATCTTTTACACATTGATGTCAGTTTTTGATGCAGTGCTGCCTGAGGGTTCGAAGGTGACGGGCATTCAATGTTATTTATTTTGGCCTTGCCGCATACATGCAAATTATATTCTGTTTTTATCTCTGTTTTCCATCACGTCCCAAACTTCATTGGCATTGGGTTTGTACATCTGTACAAGATAGGACTGCTCAAACACATTTCCATTGTGGTAGAACAGTGGTGTCAAACTCATTTTCACCGAGGGCCACATCAGCAAAATGGCTGTCTTCAAAGGGCCAGATGTAACTTATAATTAATATATACTGTATATAAATAATATAACAATATAAAATAAATGTAAGTACTCCTTAATCTTAACCCATAACTCTGAATGTATTACTTATTAAAAGATGTTTTCCTATTGCTCTCTTATAACAAATAGTTTTAATTTGTCATCTTAAAAAATCCTCATAGAAATCTACACACAAAACATGCAAATGGCAAACAATTGCAATGGCAGCTGCAAATAATCAATATGTAATCGAATTTAAATAACAAAATAAAGGTTGACTCGGGTGACAAATAAATGGTCAAGTTCTTAACACAACACTTGGATCCTCTGTGTTATCTGTGCTTTCACCAACAGCTAATGAAAAAGCTGTGTAGCTGCGTGTCTCATCGGCGAGCTGTGTTGCAAGATTTTCTGCTCGTTCCTTAACTCAGTCCGAGATGGTGTTTCTTGATGAACTCACGTTTTTAAAAGTCTGTAAGTGTTCAGGACACACCTGCTCACAGATCTTTAACATGCACTGCTTCAAAAATTCTCCTTCTGAAAGAGACTTGGAGGAAGCGCGAGCAATTTCTTCAGCCACAATAAAGCTAGCTTTCAGTGCTTTTGGCTGTGGATTTTGTAAATAAATTTTCCCGCAGCCGCAGTTTGTCTTCTAATTCTTGGGCAGTTTGTTGCTTTTCTTCAAGGCTAGCTTTACCATACTTAGCGCCGTGTTTTGTGTCAAAATGCCAACACAGATTATATTCTTTGACAACTGACACCGTTTCTGAACATAAAAAACATACTGTTTTTTCTCCTTGAAGCACAGACAAGTATACTCCTTCCCATCTTTCTTGAAATAGTCTTCCGTCTGCATCAACTTTTCTCTTCCTTGACATTTTGGGATCATTATTTTCTCCCGATTCCATTTCTGAACATTGATTTGGAAACACCACCACGTAATGCGGGTGAGCCGTCACTTAGCGAGTAACATAGTCAACAGGCATTGTGGGAAATGTAGTTTTTGGTCAAAGCATGCTTTTAAACGATTTATTTTTGCACATTCAGGCCTTTTAGGCTCTCGCCGGCCACATGAAATGATGAGGTGGGCCACATCTGGCCCGCGGGCCATGAGTTTGACACATGTGGTAGAAGATGCAATGCTTTATGTTGTTTGTGGAGAAAATCAGTAGTAGTTCCACTGCAGATGGTTGGCAACTCCTGCAGATGCGCTAACACCGACCCTATCCGCTCGGCTTTCCGTCTGACTGTCAGCAGTGGGTACCGGCGACTTGACACACCAAGACTTTGATTATCCTTGCATGGGCCTGCATCTGGAGGTCTTTCCAGTGTCATTGTATTATCGATGCACCAACACTGGATTTAATTAGTTCCAATTTAAAAGGTCAGAGCCTTCTGGAATAAGTCCGGGCGCTTATGGGTTGTCTCCTATTGATCAACTCCTGCCCACCTGAGGTGACTGCCACAGTCTGCCTGCTTCATTGGGAGCTTGGAGCTTAGGTCAAACACCGTAGAGCAGGCTGAGAAACCTGTACCAGGAAAACAAAAGAAGAAGAAAACACCAGCCTTCTGGCTGGCTACCTAGGCTGTCAGAACCATGTGTCCTGGCCTCTCTGATAACCTCCAGCAAGTTGACAATGCCAGGAAAACCGCCATCATCAACTGGGAGTTGTTGAAGCTTAACATCGGTAACACTGCACTTCAGGAGATTTGCCTCCCCTCCAGGGCCAGCCTGATCGAGAAGGATTAAACTTGTGGAAAGCATTGGAGTCAGAAAAGCGCAGTTTCCATCGAATAAACTTGGCAATACGCAACTCCTTCCTGTGCTCACTTGACCCTCCCTCCCAGGAGACTGTGCGGATTCTCTTCCGCTCCCTCATTGCTACCACTAGACATACAAACTAGGGCTGGAGGATTAATTAAAATACTTTAATTGTGATTTCGATTTTGGCTTTTCTCAATTGTACATTATAATCGGAGAAAAACGATGAATGTGTAGGATATATGTGTACGAGTGTGCCCCGGAAGATTATTTTCTGTAATAATTTGATTACAAACAACTGAAACATCAGTATTTCTTTTGGTACTTAATATAATTTGAGTTGTACTCGAATTTATACTGAAGTCCTATTTAGTTTAAGATAATCGACGAAAACATAATGTCATTGATTATCATTGATATGATTTGTCATTTTGTGACCCAGCAGTCACATAATTTTTTTAAAGACTATTTTGTTCAGTTGTGTTGCTGTCGGACCTGAAGCTAAAGCTAAATCACCTCTTGAAAAAGGCTTTTGGCACCGATACTTCAATGGTTATTTTGTTTAAACATTGAAAATCTACTTTTAATTACACTGTACCAAATTGTCACCCCAAATCTTTTGTCAGCACACCATCTGTCCTTGTCTACTTTCAAGAATAGCATTTAATTTCCTGTATGGGGGCTTCAATGTCACTTTAGGAAAAAAAAAAAAGAAAGAGAGAAAGGAAAGTAAGGCAGTGGAGAATAAGGAGTACAAAGAAAGAGAGAAAGGAGAAAGGAAAGTAAGGCAGTGGAGAATAAGGAGTAATTACTTTAGAAGTGGCTAACCCAAGCAAAGGGACATGAGAATGAGAGAAGAGTAATTAAATTCATGACGTAACAGGGAATTGTGTAATTTGAGCCTGAACAATGGATAAGAATGTGAGTGTAGTTTGTCATCTTGATAGTTACAATGTTAGTCTTCTACATCTTTATGTACAGTATCGTGATCTGCCCTCATTGAGTGCATCACTTCATTTAAAGCAGTGGATGTAGGAACCTATCCCCTTTTTTGTTGAAGAGGTATGCTTAGCCTTTTCTTGACCATTCTGTGGCCATTTTCTTTGTGTCAGACTGAATAATATTTCTCTGCTTTTTTCCGTTCTCTTTTACATCTGCAGTATGGATGTACGGCATTACCGACAGCCCAAGGAAAGAGGCGTCAGGTAGCTTTGTGTGTCTTTGTCAAATCAGTACGTTTGCATGATCCAAGTAAGCATTTAATGCCCATATTATTCCAATACTTAAAAGAAAAACTCCCCGGTCTGATTTTAATTGCTACATTTTTGTGTCCAATATTTAATACTTTTGCACAATGTGATCTGAACACATTTTATTTGTTTGGTTTTAGTTGCATGACAGTGGAGCAGCCTTTTTCTGCATATTCTCCAGGCTCTACCGCTAGATTTTCCTTGAATGTTAAATGCTATTATTACAAGTAATACAGCAGAGAACAGAGCCAGAAAGTCCGTGACTTAAGACACATTCCCAGGTACTGAATTTTGGATGCTCGTTGAGTTCATGCCGCAGCAGTTTGGAGGCTCAGGAGTAGAATCTTAAAGTACATGAATGGTGGAAAAACCAACATCGGTGACCTATTTAGCTACTGTACCAACCACCAAATGGAAAAGCCACACTGCTAAACAATCTGAAAGTGGGGATACCTACACATCCAATCACTTCATTTACCCTAATGCATTTGAAACGGGTCAAGGAAAGAAATCAAATTGAAATTGAATTATGTGGGTACCTCCACGAATGTACGCATGTGAACGTACTGACTGTTGAATGCATGCTCAACTGTGTTTATGTGAGTGTGCCCTGTCAGCTGCATCCCATTTTTTTTTTCTTTTCACACTTCACCCTTCTCAAGGCATCCGATTAACATGCACTGTCATCAGCCTCTCCTTTCACCTATCTGGTTAAATTAAACATGCCTATACAATGTTAGCTACTCCAGCATGCATATTGGTTAATTAAAAAGGGTCGGCAGTTAATTTTTCCAAAAGGGCCACATGAGAAACTGGAATGATCGAGGCTCATGCCAGCATGCTTATCTCAACTGTGTGCAATATAAATAATTTTCATTTACATAGTCATTAAATTGCCTTGTTTTATTAAATTGATATTGTTCTAAGTGAAAAATCTTTTTTCATTTTGTTAGTACACAGAAGGTTCTACATATATATATATATATATATATATATATATATATATATATATATATATACACACACACACACACACACACACACACACACACACACAGTAATCCCTCGTTTTTTTAGGTTAATCAGAACCTAAGAAACCCCACCAGCATGTTTAAAATATGTAAACCGTATTTGTACTCCACATATTTGAGACAAAAATTACAACATTCCACATATTCACTTAAATCTTTAATTACTGTATATAACCTTTTACGGTAATTACCATTCATCAACATTGCCTTCTGAGACAGGCTTGTGTTGGTGGCGTAGAAGGCGGCTCTCACTTGACTCATATAGGCCTTACGTTCACTCGGAGACTCTACTGCTGGAGGCGCTGACGGTGTAGCTGAGGTTTTTAAATCGGAGAAAAACATGGTGATGGGTAGCGTTATGACGTTCATCTTTTCTTCTTATTAGTTGAAATAGGTTTAATGTTTCTTTTTTTTTTTTTTTATCAGACATTAAAAGACCATTTAATAGCGAAGAATAAGACGCGTACCAAGCTGACAGTTTCGGCTGTCACTTCAGCCTTTCGTCTTAGCTGTCACGGCTTCCTTGTAAACGTGTCAGCTGACCTAGTTGGTAAACCTTCAAAATAAGGCTCCACGATCTGGTCAAGGCTGTGAACCAACCTCCTGCCGCCGCCGTTGAAACAACGTGTCCTTGTTGATGGTGCCATCCCCGACGAGCAGGCTTACATACTCCCACACAGCCGGGATGCATTGCTATGGCGACGGCAAGGTGTTGGGCGCAGCTTAACTAAAAGGAAAACATTCTCGCTTAAACACAACACTAGGATACAGTATGTGAGATAAGGGGAAATGCTGGGTGAGGCTGAGATGATGTGCAGCCAATCAGCTCACAGGATAAATCTACTCATGCTCTCATTGGAACCAACCACACGCCTTGTTTGAGTGGGCATGTACTGTACAGTACAGGCATGGACAAAGCCTCTGAATCGTGTCTGAAGCCACAAAACTTAAAATGCGAAATGGCAAGAGATTACTGTATCTATAAAATCCGCAAAAATCCTGTCAACAGTTTTTTTCTTAATGTAATTTTTAAACGTGTACTGAAATTTTGAGCCAACGAAACTCATTAGCTGTTCATAATCGTCGGAGAGCATAGATGAGCAGATAGATGCACAGGCAGACAAGCAGGTGGAAAGTGGTAACTGTATTATTATTGACATGAATATATTTTAACAGGACAAATCCCCTGGCTTCTTTCCTCTAGCGTGCAGGAAAGAAGAATGCTGCTAAGATGAGGACCACTGTTGCTATTGTCAGGAATCTGTTTTGAAAATTTTGTCATTAGACGGGTCGGAAATGTCACGACATACAGTACGGCGGAAATGTCACCAGGTTTCCAACATTGCTGACACCACAGCTTTTGCTTGCTTGTACCATCCACAGGCACACATGGAAATAAAAAACACCACAATTATTTTGACTTCATAAACTCTGCGAGGGCAGATCAGAGAATACGTACTGGTCGGATGTGACTGGCCGCAATTTGCCCATGTGTGGTCTACAGCAGGCATTGTTATTTTCAGCTATTATTTGACTGGTTAGGCCATTTCCAATAAAATGGCCAACTACGATCTATAATACAGTACGAACATTTGGAGATGGACATGTAATACAGTATAAACATGACAATTACAAATACGTGTATACAGTATGAAGAAAACATTTGGCCAGCAAATGAAAAGTGCCTCTTCTCCTATTCAGGATGTGCTGCCCCCGAAATCGTTTACAATCATCTTTCAGTCTGTTGGCCTCGAACTCTGCCATGATTTTCTTGCCATTACGGATGAATGTCGAAATCATTGACTTTGCCAATTTGTAGTCTCGGCTGGGCTCTGTCTGGGAGACTCCTTTTCAAATGTGAGAGACAATTTCAGTCTTCAGAAACAACAGTGAGATTTGTTTCCGTTTACCATAGATGTTTTCACATGTCTCCGGAAGTACAACAATGGATGAGTCGGTCAGTAGCGTTGCGAAGCAACGGAGGGGAATCCCACGCTGTACATTTTGTTCATAAGCAAGGTCGCGGTGGCAGTTAGCTTCCCACGGTTCATTGTGACGAGGGCATTTTCACTGGTGGTCATTGTAAGCAAAATCAGCAAATGGAAAATGAATGACTTGAAATTAGGACTTGTGAAGTGAACATTATAGGGGTGAAAACGTAAACAGGGTCTGTTTATAAGAGGTTTGACTATAGTCTGCTGTGCATGAATCTAACATGTTATTTCCTCATATCAATACAATTGATTGATTACCTATTAAAACAATTTTAAATTGATGTCTTCTATACCGAACACAGATTGATGTCATTGGATTGTGGAGCATATACAGTGATCCCTCGCTATTTTGCCGTTCGTTTATCGCAGCTTCAGTGCATCATGGATTTTTTCAAACATATTCATAAAAAAATAAATAAATAAATAATTTAAGTCCGCAAAAAGTCCGCAAACGGTCCGCGAGAAGCAGCGAAACAACAGCGAGTCACATAGAGCAACATATACAGTACTACATGTATATGTTTACTGTATTTTGTTATTCATACACTAACCTAACCTAACTTATACATGTTTAAATCTATTAGTATACAGCATTAAGTAATGTTAATTACGACAAAATTTACTTCTACATGCATGTATGCCGTGAAATTTGGCCTTATAAATATTTTTTACTAATACGCATGTACATGTACCGATGGGTGGGGGTGGGGGGGGGGGGGTTTCGCTACTTCGCGGATTTTCGTTTATCGCGGGGGGTTTTGGTCCCCATTAACCAATAAACGAGGGATTACTGTATACGCACACTTTCAGTGAAAAGGTTAGAAATCAAAGAAGAAGAAAAAAAAAACGTCTAAAACTCAAAGTGTTTCTTTTTATTGACAAACTCCTACCCAGTCTCTTTCCTTGTCCCTCTCCCTCCCCTGCAGTCCTCTCATATGTTTCTATTTAAGGCCAGCTTTGTCGAGTGTCATGATTGGTGTGTTCCCCCCCCCCCGTCCGCGACTGGTTCCTGATGGCAGGAGAGGGGACGCCTTTTCTCTCAGCCACACTGTTGCTTTTCCATTCACGAGCCAGTGTTCTCCACAAACCATTTTGTCCTACTTATTGTAGTGTAGATCTTGCGTTTGGTTCAGATCATAGGTCCACTTTAGGTCCTAGATGCAACTCCTACAAACAAACTCGCTGCGTTCGTTTTTGTTGTTTTGATCCCTTCTTATGCACCTGAAGTGCATCGCAGTCAGGCAAGGTGCGCGTCAGCCATATGGCTGCAGTTTTGGAACTATGCCTTCCAATCGACAGTTTGTCTCGTGCTCGGCTATTGAGGATACGTGGTGACAGAGTGCAGGGGTCAGCTGATGGCAGCATACCGGGTCCACAGAGGCAGGAATGCAGTTGGAAGCAGCGGGTGTTTGCCATCTGTCAAAGCAGGCAGGTGGTTGACGGCGTGTTTCTTCCACCCAGGGATTGACAGCTTGGAGCCTATGGTACTGGAGCAGTATGTGGCTGTGGCCAACTACGAAAGACAGGAGAACTCTGAGATCAACCTCAAAGCCGGCGAGACAGTGGACGTGATTGAGAAGAGCGAAAGTGGTGAGTACCCTACTGTGAATGTATTTACACATCCCATGTTTGGCTAAGTTTATGTGTGGTGTTGCAACTTTTAATGTAGAGTTGTACAATTTCGTCATACAGTTTGCTTCTTTGTTGAACCAACAAACCTGCTATTGTGGAATTGCTCGGTTACTCATTTTGTCCATACACAATCCTCCTTATACTAGTGACCATCTTTTTTTCTCATTACCGGTATATTGGAATTAAACAACCAAAATAACCAAAACATTGTTCATGGAGTTAGTTTTTACACATTATTAAAATACAGTATACAGTTAGTGGGCCAAAAGAAATGTGTTCCTTCCATTGTAGAGGTCAATAATTCCAGCATCCCTTCGTGTTTATAAGTAACTCAATTTTCAAATGGTACAGAAGCTTGTCTCAACCAAGAATACTCGTCAGTGTAAACAATGAGCTTATGCAGATGATTTTCAAGGGAAAGGCTTCCGATACTTCCCTTTTCCCGGGTGTTGCAGTGTAGTCGGCTTTCTTATGAGATTCCACAGGTGAATTTGCTCTCACATTGACTGTACCAGGTAAACAAAAAATGTGTCTTGCTGTATATACATGCTAGCTCCTTGCTTGCATCTTTAACTTACTCCAATTAGGTTAACTGCTACACAACTTCTGCTGTTTTATTTTCCTGCCAAGAATGCTCTAAATCGACCAAGTTGGTCCTGGAAAAAACAATACATTCAACAGACAATGCAGGCCTGTTTAAGCTATGTAGCTCTTAAACCGTATCAACTTGCTGTCTGTTCTATGCCCAAGTCATAAGATTAAAAGCCACACTGCATGACATTAAAATGACAAGACTATGATTTGAATTTCAAGCTCTAAACATGCTGTCGTTCAATCCCCCTTGTGAGTCCAGCTCAGGTTGTTGTCACAGTGACCGTAAGCCGAAATTTAGAGCTTGTCAGAGATGTTTTCACATAGTTTCATGGTGTATTCTTGTTGGTTGGTTCACTGACAGCGATTGTACCCGACACAGTGAGATGACACTGTGTGATACCTGTTGTTGTTTCGTCATATGGTGTTTGTTGTGCTTCTTGTGGACCCGTTGTGGACAGTTTTTGTTTTGGCCACGACAGTCGTCAAAGGAGAAGAATCTATACTTGGTGGTTGTGCCTTCTCGGCAGCACACGTGGATCAGCTTTGGGAACATTGACGCTATTTGATGTTGCCGCTGCATTTGTGTTTTTTTTGCACCTGTAATGGACAGCATTTTTTTACTGGCTCGTTTTGTTCAGCGGAGATGTCGGCGCCGTTAGACAGTCTGCATTGGTGCGCTGGACGGAGAGCTAGTGGGGCTGAGGCGAGAGGAGCATCGGCGTGAAGCGCGGATGCGTATTTGGAACTGAGAGTCGGTGCTTGCAATTGAAGCAGATTTACATGGGACAGGAAAAGTGAATCAATCTCTTTATTCATCAATGGATGCTCCAGCTTGTTCACTTTCAAACTGAGCTTGGAGCAGATGTGTGGGACATCATGCACGTTTTGAGCGTGACGTCTCTGATCCACCGGTGAAAGGATACTTTGATTCTCTCCTCTTTCATCTACAACTGTGGTTACGGTTGCATGACTGTCCATGTCCTATGTTGTTGTGTTGTGTTATCTTCCCGTCTTTCATTATTTTATGTCAACTATTCTGTAAAGCGCTTTGTTACAGCTGCAGCTGTGGTGAACGCGCTATGTAAATAAATATGTATTGTATATAGCGTGTACCCAGTTTAAGAAAAGTGAGTCTGTTAATTTCAGTATTTTATCAGTGTCACAACAGCTATACAAAAATCTAAATCAGAAGATCAGTAGTTTAGTTCTCATAGCTACAGTAATAGGCTACAGAAAATATCTTGGCTGAAAGATAACCTACAGCTCTGTACTTACCTATAGGCTATCGTATATATGATTCAGTCTCCTTTTCTTTCTTTTAAAGAACACCGAACCAGTCTCCAATGTTTCTGTCCTGTCACATGAGAGGATGGAAGCATGACACCGTTTAAAGCAGTGGCTGCAGTGATGTGGCTTTGGTGGAGAGGTTAATGTATTCTCAAGAATGACTTCAACAATGTAGGCATCATGTTTCTTTCTCTGCTTTAGTTTCCTTCTGTCAGAGTTTTTTAAATGGGAAGTTGTTGTTGTGGGTCTGATCTCTGGCAAGCGTAATGTTTTGTTGCTCAAGAAGTCTGGAACTGTGTGCTTTGGAGAGTTTCTGGGAATTGAAGTAACATTGACAATGACGAGTGGACGACAATGTCAAAACAAACAAATTAAAGCACTTGCATAATAGGCGCTTCCCTCGTTCAAGGCCAGCAGTGTCCTCGTGCGTACGCGCCGGCTTCCTTTGGCAGTTTCTGCCTGCATGCTGACAGTCTTACTTTCTCAAAAACATGTTACGTGCAGGAATAACACATTGTCATTGAAGCAGCTTTTGGCAATGCTTAATGCTTGTACCGTATTTTCCGCACTATTAGGCGCACCGAAAAGTCATCCATTTTCTTAAAAGCTCCCAGCACGCCTTAAAATCCGTGTGCCTTATGTATGGTCATTACGGTAATATGTCGACCCCCAAAATGGCTCCTTGCTGGAGACATGCTTACAATGTTATACCTTGCTGTTGGTTCAGTGAACTGTGTCGCTGTTTTATTAAATACGTTTTTGTTGCAGCTCCTAAAAAAGGAGAGCTTTGGTGTTGTTTTTTAAAACTCACACTTTATGAATGGTTATTAGTCTCAACAAATACAGGTACGCCTTTGTCCGTCTCCGTACTTTCTCTTCTTTCCTTCGACTCGAGAGGTGTTCATGACCGCCTCTGAAAAACGTAAATTAATGGTTCCTTCAATGAAAGTACGAACATTGAAAACAATGCATCAAAACAGAAAATCAAGCGAGGAAATCAGAAAATAAATTCTAGAGCCCTCCTCCAGAATTTATTTAGTGATTTACTCGTTTGTGAATACAGTACACAACAAAGGAATAAATAACAAACACTTCTGAGACCGTCCAGTCTCCTACATTTTACTGACATCTCAAGTCAAGTCAAGTACAACTTTATTGTCAAATGTGCTGTATGTGCAACATACAGCACAGATGAAATTTCCTCCCTCTTAAACAGACAAGACAACATCTGATCGTTCTGTTGGAGCTACGCTCAAGGAAATGCCAAAATAAATGCTCTAGCGGGGGCTATAGAATTTATTTTGTGATTTCCTCGCTTGATTTTCTGTTGTGACGCATTATTTAAAATTTTCGTAGTGTCATTGAAGTAATCGTTAATTTACATTTTTCGGAGGCGGTCATTGAACGCCTCTCAAGTCGAACAGAAGGAGCGTAGCTCCATCTAGTGGATGCATTGTAGATTGCGCCTTATAATCCAGTGTGTCCAATATTTGAAAAAAATTACAAAATAGGCCATTCATTGAAGGTGCGTCTCATAATCCAGTGCGCCTTTTCGGGCGGAAAATACGGTATATTTAGTTTGTTTTTTTTTTTAATCCAAATCCATATATTTACTTCTCTGTTTCATGGAAATTAGGATTTATTGTCTCGGGTCAGCAGGATGAACAACTTCATCTTTTGGAACAAAAAGTCCCAGCTACTTCATTCCACAGTGTCAACAAGTACTTAGGCGTAGAAAAAAAAGTAGTGTGTTTCCGGTAACCTGACTGACCGAGAATTTCTACGTCGAAAAAAAACTTTACGGTCGGCATTTTTTTCAAACAACCCTCTACATTTTTGTGCAGAGGGTTTACATCGGTGCAAACTTTCGAGATATTCACGTTGAGCGCGTGCGTCGTTTGCCCTGTCGTCTGTCAACAACGTTGAAACATGGCGGCTGCGATCTCCGACGACAGTTTAAAACGCGTTTTCTGTGTTACAGTTGTATGCTCGCACCGTAATGTTAAGAAAATAGCATCCATTGATGTATCGAAAAAATAAAATGAACTATTTCATGAACACCACGGGCCGAGTAAAAACCGAGGGCGGAGGAGGACGGCGGAGGAGGACGGCGGAGGAGGACGGCGGAGGCGGCGGCGCGCCCCGGCCCCCCGAGTCCGGAGCAGGGAGAAAACTAAATAGGTGGCAGCGGCGCCGGACGCGGAGCGGCGGGTTCAATGTCTTCTTGTTTTATGTTTTATGGTTATTTTGTTTGAATTTTTGATGGGAAAAAAAAAAGATTAAAAAAAAAAAACTTTGTCCCACCCACCGACCCTAAGCTGAAATTTCTTTTT